CTAACAAAAAGAGCTTACCAGATAAAATTTCACAAACAGTATCCATAGGAAATACTTCCTCCGTCCCAAAATAAGTGTCTTTAGTACAAAGTTGAGACACTTATTTTGGGACAGAGGGTAAAACTAATTTGTAATTTCACAGGAAATGATCCTTGTAGAATGCATAAAGACCATAATCAAGCCAACCATTTCAATTTATAACGATATGTTAAAGAACTTTAGTTGTGCTATTACGGACACATATTTCAATTGGTGAATAAGAAACTTAACGACGTCGCCTGTTGTTTGAGGATGAAAATGGTATTTCTCTCCATAGAACAACTGCTTCAATTCTTTCAAAATAGAACCATACAGCAAAAGGCTTCAGAACACAGTCAACACACTCTAAATTAGTTCATAAAATCCAAATCCATGCCATATACATTCAGCGTCTACTACCATGAAATTGCAGCTAGAAGCCAGAAAGTAGTACACTTCAATGACTGAGAACTTGAACGAGGAATAATGGAGAAAAGTGGAGAACTAACCTCCAGTTGGAAGGGCATGAAGATGCCAGCTCCTTCTCTGCTGTATCTTCCTTAATATCCATCCGACTGAACATTTATTTTCCAAAGCTGGAAAGAAAAGAAATTTACAAATATGCGCATTGGCACACATATCCATTCCACTGAACATATGCAACCCATATCCGCAAAAAAATAGAAATTTAGTACATATTCACAAAGAGTAAGTAACAGCACATGGTCACCTTCTGGTCTCAATATCCAGAGTCTCATGTTGGATACATCTTATTAATTATGTTCAATTTAGAGATGTGATGGCTCTAAATAGGTAAAATGGCTCACAAATCTAACGAGACAAAAACTACGAGATTGTCTTGAAGGACCATTATGTATAGTTCTCCTGTGATACATCCTGGACCTCACAAATGCCTTGTGTTAAAATTAAAAGGTGAATGCTCTAAGTAGGATCCTAGGGGAAAGGAAGAATAAGTAGATCCAGGATGCAGTGGTGTGAATGTGTGATGTATAGATAAGAACTCTAATAGTAAAGCCTCCTGAATCCTGATTCACTCAAGGAGCACAAGTTGTAGGGCTAACAATCAGCAATCTAAAAGGGACATTTCCCTATTTTTGTCCCCTTACCTTGTTTTTATGCAAGTGATTTACAGAAGAATTTAAGAACATTTTTTTATGTAAGTGCTTTAGAGAAGAATTTAAGAACACACGAGTTAATTTCATTCTTGGAGAGGTGCGGACTGCAATAAAAGCTAAAGACCAGGGAACACTAACAGAACCTTCTTACACTGCCATTTATCGAATAGGTGTCCGTATCTTTAGTTTGACGGCCTGTCAGTATAACCTGCTGGAGTTAATCATCAGTTTTATAGTAAAATCTTGGGCAAATTTTTTATCTCCAACAGATCAAAGATGACACACATCAGAATCCTCACCAGACCGCGCTTTGCAATTCAAGACGAAGACCCACCAGACCGAGAATCTTACAGCCCCTTATTCGAGCTTGGTGCCACAATGCAAGCGCTAACATGAGTCGATGTGTCCATGCAAGAGGTGAAACAATGGAAGCGTCCAGGCCTAAGATAAGAGGCAGTGGTGCGTGGGGAAATGCGGCACCGTGTCATTCTGCCCTGAGCCGATGTGGGCGCTCTCCCCTGAGCCGAGCGAAAGAAGTTCATATAACCCCCTGTGGTTGCACAAACCGGCCACTCCAACCTTTCCAATGCAATTTAAATGACCCCCTAAACAAGATTAGAGCGGTTTTAGCAGGCTGCTTTGCCCACATGGCAGGAAGGGTGCCAGGTAGCTAGGTGGGTGGCACAAATCCTTTGGAATAGGAGGGAACTGGCACTGGAAGTTTCTCCTGTAACGCGCAGCCGCTGCCCGTTCTCCATCCACAAGCAGCGCTGCTGTCGTCGCGCGCCAGCAGAGCTCAAGCTCATGGTGTCCTGCACTCAGGATATTGGTAATTGGCTTAGACAAATCTAATGGCTAAGCTACAACCAAGTGACAAATCAAAATTTTGGAAAAGCAGCAACTTTCTATGTAGAAAGGTTATATATAAAGATGAGACAAGAGGTAATTCAGTTGTGACTTGATAATCTGTATTGCTGCATACATGTCGTTAATGAGTGCTCGGACACAGAGATCTGGCTAACAGATAAACAGCAGCAGCAAGATCCTCTACCAAAGCATGCTAATCCTGTCCTCCTTGTTTCTCACACAAAGAAAAAGGCTGAAGCACTTGACATGCCAGTTGCTGTTCTTCACTTGGGAAAGCAAAGTTCAGACTGAATGTACTCTGTTTCTAGACTGAATATACTGTGTTTTCAAACTGAATGTACTCTGTTTTCAGATTAAAAGTGGTCTGATCATTCAGCATCATTTTTATTTAAACTTGGCAAAGATCAAACATGACAGAAATATATGATATACACATCAGAGGATATAGTAAATGGCATAAATGTCATGATCAGGACTTGGCAAAGATCAAACAGCTAACATGTCAAACATGACATAAAGAGTAAATGCTATAAATGTCATGATCAGAACTTGGCGTATATTTCAAACCCTAGTTAGCCAGCCCCAAACGCCTATGTCCGCTGCCCTAACCGCAGCACCAAACAGCCGCAATCTTCCCAAAAATCAAAATTTTACCGACGCCTTAACATTGGGAGTGATCGCCTAAACTGCGCGTTGTCGTGTGTACTCTGATCAGGCGGCGATCATCGCATCCACCCGCTGTCTCGTCGTCATAGATGGAGAAGCCAAAGCGGGGTTCGAGGGGGTCATTTGCTCGGCTACTAGCGACACCCAGGCCAGAGTGGAAAAACAGCCTGCTAAAAACAGCTCTAATCCGGTTTAGGGGTCATTTAAATGCTATTGGAAAGGTTAGGGCATTAAGAAAGTGGTTTTAGACTTCAGGAGGTGGAGTTGACGGTTTGTGCAGCCCCGGGGGGTATGTGGACTTCCTTTGAGCCGAGCACAACGGCATCCACCGGAGGTGGTGAAGGCAGCGGTCGGCAGCAGTGCATGGTGCACGGAGAACTGCACACGTTTGCAGAGAACGACGACCCAGTAGCGGCGGATCATAAGCGACGCGATCATGGTGGTGCCGAGGGGTTATAAGGGAGGGGAGGAGTGTAAGATACAGGATTGCTGCATCAAAAAAAAAATGGCATTTCCATCCGATAATGTGCATGATCACTAAACATCATATGAACGCTCCAACTTTTCAAACCATTCAGGCTTTTACCAGTTATAAACCATATCATAATTTCATCAAGATTCTAGTCCATCTAATAATAAAATAAAAGCACCTAAGAAGCTATGTATACAGCAACGGCAGCAAATATAGTGATACAACATACTGAAGGAAATGAGCACTACTGCCCAAAAACTAACATAGCAGAAGTTGTAGCTACTAGATACTGATGGAAAGGGGAAGACAGACAATTCCAATCCTCCTGGAAAAACCCGTGTTGCTCCCCTTTCACCAAGTTACCTTACAAGACACATTGGATGTCATCCCTGAAGAACCTGTAGAATTTGGACCTATGGTTGACCATGATGAGTCCAGACTTCTTGTGATGCACTACCTCCACGCCAGACATCACAGCACCCATCTCAGTCGTGTTGCCAGTGTCTTCGTCCAGACCAAACTCAAAGACTTTGGTGATGCAAAACCTCCCATTTCCCAAGTACACAAAGCTGCAATCTTGCATTATCCAGTCCTCGGGCAGATCAAGGTGTGGCCAACTGTACACTAAAGGTGGACACCTCTTCGAGAGAAGACGGGAGATACCCATTGCACAAAAGTGGTTGGGTGCATCGCTGGCAATGCCAAATAAGAGGTTGTCCAGCTCTGGTACATGCACAGCACGACTGAGGAATGGCAGTGTCCAGGAGCCAGCCTTAAACCACTTGCGACTGGCTGTGTTGAAGCAGTAGGTGCCAAGGCTTTCTTCTCCGGAGGAGACAACAAGAATTGAGTCACCTTCAATTTCAAGCAGCGCATGGGAATTGACAATGCAATTGTCAGCATAGGCAGGTGGTGTTGGTAGCTTGAGCCAATTCCAGCCTTTCATCGTCCTGCCATTAGAAGGGTTACTGTACATGAGTACCTCGAAGTTGTAGGGGTCATAGCTGGAAGGGAACCTTCCCATAACGTAGAAGGCATCAGCACGTTCACGGTCAGAGGCTTCGGGATTGGTGGTGGAGAAGCTGATGGGCCTGCTCCCCTTGGGACTGTTGAGGCATGGAATTGGCTGGACCGAACCGGCGTCCATGTCGTATAGGGCGGTGTGGCCAGCGGCGTCCACGCAGAGGATCTTGCTCGCAGCACCGCTGCCTCGTTCATGGAAGGGCAGGAAATCCAGTCTTTTGTTGTCTGAGGTGGACCGCTCGAATCTGAGCTTGGACGGAGGCATCCGCGAGATGGTCTCCATCCATGGTGGCACAACGGCTGATGATGGGCACTCCATATCGAACCTTGATTTTTCTGCTGCCTGTGCTTCGGCCGTGGATCGGTAGAAGAGGTGTTCCTTGGCGTTGATGCGACTGACCGTATACAAGCTGCCACCGGCACCGCCAGTGCCATACCTCTCCATCACAACATTCAGGAACTGTCGCGCCTTCATTCTATTTCTCCCCACTCCTCCTGGAAAACAGAGATGACGAATTAGAAGATGAATGAAACCCCACAAGACAGGGCATTTCCACGAAAACAAACAAGACCGGCCAGGGAAATAAAATACCAACGTTCAACGGGCAAGAGAAATACCTGCGGCAGACAGATCCAATTGTCTTCCCCTCCAATTCCACGGAATCGAAGGCGGCGGTTGCAGCGGCGGCGGCGGCGACGGCGGCGGCGGCGGCGGCTGGGATAGGGTGTGGCATCTAGGTTTAGCGGTCTCATTTCCTTTCTCCGCCTTATATATATGTATCGACATATCATGGGCTGGCGAGCCTTATAACAGCCCACACAGGCTTTGCCGCAGGGGAGTGTGCCAGATGGGCTGGCCCATGCGCGCGGGAGGCCTCTTTTCACCTTTTCTTTTTTTACTTTCGTTTATACGAGTATAAATAAATATATAGTAGAAACCACTTTACATAAAACATTTCAAAAAATATTAACCAAGCATTCGAAAAATGTAAATGTGTGTATACAAAAAATATACAATGTGTGTGAAAAAGTTGGTCATGAAATATTAATCAACCTTTTGAAATAATGTCAAACAAGTATTTGAAAAAACATTATATGTATATAGAACCATGTATTCAAATAATGTTAAACTTGTATTTGGAAAAGGTTGAATGTGTATACAAAAAATGTTGACCTTGTACTCAAATAATGTTAATCTTGTATTTTAAAAATGTTATATGTGTAGAGGAAAAATGTTGACCATGTATTCCAAAAAGGTTAATCTTGTATTGTACTCCAAAAATGTTAAACTTGTATTCAAAATTTTTTAATCAAGCATCTGAAAAAGTTCAAATGTGTATAGAATTTTTCTTGACCATCTATTCAAAAAATGTTAAATGTGTATAGAAATTTTTTTGACCTTGTATTCAAGAAATGTTGATCTTGTATTGTATTCCAAAAATGTTAAAACTGTATTTGAAATTTTTTTATCAATCATTTAAAAAAATGTTAAATGCGTATAGAAAAAAAATGTTTACAATGTATCCAAAAAATGTTAATCTTGTATTTGAACAAAGTTACTCAAGCATTCAAAAAATGTTAAATATGTGTAGTAAAAATGTTGACCATGTATTCCAAAAAAGGTTAATCTTGTATTTAATAAATGTTAAATATGTATTAGGGAAACATATTAGTTATATATACGAAAATTGGGCACACAAAAACAGTGAAACCAAGAGAAAAACAAAATAAACGATGAAAAACAAAACCAAAGAAAAACGAAGGGGGGGGATAAAAGAAAAAAGGCAATCAAAACAAGAAAGAAACAAAGAAGAAGAAAAAAGGAGGCGACGGTTCCTGTTTCGTCACCAGGGTTTTTGTTACTGAATAGAGCAAATTTTGTAGTGTGAAGCCCAGAGAATTGTTAGCAAATCATCGACAGTCAGAGCTGGTCGATTGGCAGAACTTTGTACAAAGCTACATCATGCCGTCAATGAACTGAACCGAAGCAACACACGAGGGAAGCATAGAACCGCTCATTATGCCACCGTTGGCAAACTTGGTAGGAAACAAAAAAAATTTCCCTACGATCACCTAGGAACAATATGAATATGTATATAAGGTTTAGTTTGGATCACGATCGCTACCGACTCTGGAGTGCAGCGGAACTAGACGAGTCGGTGTAGATCATACTTGGAGTCCCTCGAACCGTAGATGAATGATCACGTGAACTGCCCACGAACGATACCATGAATGGAAGACCAAAAGCACAACCTCTCTACTTGGTTGCAAGCGTATGGTTTTCACGATCCAGCAACGCTTCGTTGTCCAAAGCTAAACATCACTGGAGAATTAGAGGGAGGAGATTAGAACCACACCGGACTTCTAATTATGAGGATTAGATTATCTAGGTCAAGCTCGAATTCATCAACTATGATCAACTAGAACTAGAGGAGGCTCCAAAACTTGTGCCCAAACGGCAAAATTGTCTAGTACTAATCCGATGCCTACGAGTTTTCCATATACTGGTTCTTGCTTATTTACTTTTCCATTGCTACTGTTACAATCACTACAAAATACCAAAAACATTGCTTTTGCTGTCTTTACTTTTGTTACCGTTACCACCACTATCATATTACTTTGCTACTAAACACTTTGCTGCAAATACTAAGTTTCCAGGTGTGGTTGAATTGACAACTCAGCTGCTAATACTTGAGAATATTCTTTGGCTCCCCTTGTGTCGAATCAATAAATTTGGGTTGAATACTCTACCCTCAAAAACTGCTGCGATCCCCTATACTTGTGGGTTATCAGCATCCAAACCCTGTGATATGATACGCTCTATCACACACAAACCTCCTTATATCTTCCTGAAGACAGCCACCATACCTACCTATTATGGCATTTCCATAGCCATTCCGAGATATATTGCCATGCAACTTTCCACCATTTCGTTTATTATGACATGCTTCATCATTGTCATATTGCTTTGCATGATCATGTAGTTGACATCGTATTTGTGGCAAAGCCACCATGCATAATTTTTCATACATGTCACTCTTGATTCATTGCTCATCCCGGTACACTGACGGAGGCACTCATATAGAGTCATATTTTGTTCTAGTATCGAGTTGCAATCATTGAGTTGTAAATAAATAGAAGTGTGATGATCCTCATCATTAGAGCATTGCCCATGTGAGGAAATAAAAAAAAAGAGAAAGTCCAAATAAAAAAAGGAAGGCCAAATAAAAAAAGGAAGGCCAAAAAAAGAGATGGCCCAAAAAAATGAGAGAAAAAGAGAGAAGGGGCAATGTTACTATCCTTTTTTTCCACACTTGTGCTTCAAAAGTAGCACCTATTGGAAATATGTCCTAGAGGCAATAATAAAAGTATTATTATTATATTTCCTTGTTCATGATAATTATCTTTTATTCATGCTATAACTGTATTATCCGGAAATCATAATACACGTGTGAATACATAGACCACAATATGTCCCTAGTGAGCCTCTAGTTGACTAGCTCGTTGATCAACAGATAGTCATGGTTTCCTGGCTATGGACATTGGATGTCGTTGATAACGGGATCACTGTTGGAAATATGCCCTAGAGGCAATAATAAAAGTATTATTATATTTCATTGTTCATGATAATTGTCTTGTATTCATGCTATAACTGTATTATCCGGAAATCGTAATACACGTGTGAATACTTAGACCACACTATGTCCCTGGTAAGCCTCTAGTAGACCAGCTCGTTGTGATCAACAGATAGTCATGGTTTCCTGACTATGGACATTGGATGTCGTTGATAACGGGATCACATCATTAGGAGAATGATGTGATGGACAAGACCCAATCCTAAGCATAGCATAAAAGATCGTGTAGTTCGTTTTGCTAGAGCTTTGCAAGTGTCAAGTATCTCTTCCTTCGACCATGAGATCGTGTAACTCCCGGATACCGTAAGAGTGCCTTGGGTGTATCAAACGTCACAACGTAACTGGGTGACTATAAAGGTGCATTACAGGTATCTCCGAAAGTAGCTGTTGGGTTGACACGGATCGAGACTGGGATTTGTCACTCCGTATGACGGAGAGGTATCTCTGGGCCCACTCGGTAATGCATCATCATATTGAGCTCAATGTGACCAAGGTGTTGGACACGGGATCATGCATTACGGTACGAGTAAAGTGACTTGCCGGTAACGAGACTGAACAAGGTATTGGGATACCGACGATCGAGTCTCGGGCAAGTAATGTACCGATTGACAAAGGGAATTGCATACAGGGTTTGATCGAATCCTCGACATCGTGGTTCATCCGATGACAACATCGAGGAGCATGTGGGAGCCATCATGGGTATCCAGATCCCGCTGATGTTTATTGACTGAGAGCGTCTCGGTCATGTCTGCATGTCTCCCGAACCCGTAGGGTCTACACACTTAAGGTTCGGTGACGCTAGGGTTATGAAGATATGTATATGCAGAAACCCGAATGTTGTTCGGAGTCCCGGATGAGATCCCGGACGTCACGAGGAGTTCCGGAATGGTCCGGAGGTAAAGAATTATATATAGGAAGTGCTATTTCGGGCATCGGGACAAGTTTCGGGGTTATCGGTATTGTACCGGGACCACCGGAAGGGTCCCGGGGGTCCACCGGGTGGGGCCACCTGTCCCGGGGGGGCCACATGGGCTGTAGGGGGTGCGCCTTGGCCATCATGGGCCAAGGGCACCAGCCCCTATAGGCCCATGCGCCTAGGGTTTCCCCCTAGGAGGAGTCCTAGTGGTGGAAGGCACCCCTAGGTGCCTTGGGGGGGAGGGAAACCTCCCCTAGGCCGCCGCCCCCCCTAGTAGATCTCATCTACTAGGGCCGGCGCCCCCCCTTGGCACCCCTATATATAGTGGGGGGAGAGGAGGAGAACACACCAGCCCCTGGCGCCTCCACCTCCCCCCGTTACGTCTCTCCCTCGTAGTCTCGGCGAAGCCCTGCTGCTGTGACGCCCTGCATCCACCACCACGCCGTCGTGCTGCTGGATCTTCATCAACCTCTCCTTTCCCCTTGCTGGATCAAGAAGGAGGAGACGTCTCCCGTCCCGTACGTGTGTTGAACGCGGAGGTGCCGTCCGTTCGGCGCTGGTCATCGGTGATTTGGATCACGTCGAGTACGACTACATCATCACCTTGCAAGCTTCCGCACGCGATCTACAAGTGGTATGTAGATGCAAACTCTCTCCCTAGACTCGTTGCTTAGATGAACTCATAGATGGATCTTGGTGAAACCGTAGGAAAAATTTTAATTTTCTGCAACGTTCCCCAACAGTGGTATCAGAGCCAGGTTTATGCGTAGTTCTCTTTGCACGAGTAGAACACAACTTTGTTGTGGGCGTGGATTTTGTCATCTTACTTGCCTCTACTAGTCTTTTCTTGCTCAACGGTATTGTGGGATGAAGCGGCCCGGACCAACCTTACACGTACGCTTACGTGAGACCGGTTCCACCGAC